GTTTCTATTTCCTGACTTGTAAAAAGTCAATTAATGTTTAAAATCAATGTTTAATCAATGTTAAAGATTAAACATTTTTAGTTTTCTTAGAAAATCTTTTCTTGAAGAATCTGGAATCAAATACTTTTTTTACATGTGTACATTCCATTTAGAACGGTGTCTTCACTTAATCTCTTCACTGTATTTTCATTTAATTTCCATCCCGGATAAGGAAATTCTTATCAAGAGCCAATATTTGTATTGCGTTTACGTTGGCGTACCTGAAGACAGGAAGTGGATTCGCTTGAGCCTGACACAGCATTACCATGGCAATTCGCGACGCGATTGAGAGGACAGTTATTTTAGCTGTTGGTGGCACTTTCGGTGCTGCACCAGTTACTGGCTCTAGATACGTAAACAATAAAGCGATAAAACAAGTCAAGGTATGTTGATTGATATAAATCGCTTAAGACTTAAAGTGAATAAAGCTATCCTTTGCCAAGAAAAGAGCTATATCGAAGCTATATTTTTAATCGCGAATAAAATTGATGAAACGGAGAAAAGGCTTTGCTACAGATTACAATAAATAATTGTAAATACCTATAAGCTGGAAGAGGGTGTCCCTGCGCGGGGCACAACATTGTTACAGCCACTCCGACGACATTCGCGAGAACATCATATTTAGATATGGAAGCAACTCGAGGCTTAGCACCGTTTACAGGTTCTACAGAACGATAATGTTACGAGAATTGTATCGAAAAAGCAAGAACAAGCTTTACGAAAATATATTTAATTAAATATGTCGATGGACTGATCTAAATGCGGGAGCAGGGAATGCCTGTGCATCACACAATAAACTAATTTCGGCATCATTCGTCACTTCGAAGGAATTGGATTTTGCCGTTTTCGGGAATTTTGGGGCTACACGACCTGCTGGCTCTAATGCACATAAATTTTATTTTTCATAACTTTTTCGTTACGACAAAACGCGTTACCGCCATATAACATTTATTTATCAATTTGTTAAAATTAAACTGAATAAATGTTACGTAAAATATATTTCAAAAATGCCGATATATTTATAAATATGTACATATAGACTGACCTAAATGTGGGAGCAGGAAATGCCTGAGCATCGCACAATAAACTGATTTCGGCTTCACTCGCTATTTCAAAGGAATTGATCTTTGCCATTTTCGGAAATTTTGGAGACACTCGACCTGCCGGTTCTAACACGTAAAATTTATTATTTCTCTTAGAATAATACGTTTTTAAAACGCGCCACCGCCAAGCAATACTTGTATTTTCTTTTTAAAATAAGAATAAGAAGATGCCACATAATACAGATGTGTGTGTGTGTGTGTGTGTGTGTGTGTGTGTGTGTGTGTGTAAACTAAGTGAATATATTGATGGACTAACCTAAACGCGGGAGCAGGAAATGCCTGTGCGTCGCACAACAAACTTATTATGGCACCGTTCGCCACCTCGAATGAATCAATTTTTGCTGATTTCGGGAATTTTGGAGATACATGACCTGCTGGCTCTAACATAGAAACAATATTTATTACTTTTCTTAAAATGATATATCTATGCTGGACAAAACGAGCTACCGCCGTACAATATTATATATTATAAGCCTACTAAAATTCAATTAAGAATAAGAACCGCATAGAATATATATATAGACAAAATTAACTAAATATATCGATGACTGACCTAAATCCGGGAGCAGGAAATGCTTGTGCATCACATAATAAACTTATCATAGCACCATTCGCCACCTCGAATGAATCACTTTTTGCAGATTTCGGAAATTTTGGAGATACACGACCTGCTGGCTCTAGCGTGGAAACGAAATTTGTTATTTAATTTAAAATGACATCTGATAAAACGTCAGGACAAAATGCGCCACCGCCGTAATTTCTTATTAAATAATTTACTAAAATTAAAATATTTATCCAAAAAAAAAGAAGGCGAAGATAATAAAAATACAAATGAAAGATAGATATACAATAATAGAATATAAAAATAATTTAAAAAATTGTTTTGTAATTATTAATGATAAAAGATCAATGATAAAAAGATTTACAAATTTACAAATTTGCTTTAATAAGATATAAGAGGAATGTAAATTATTGACCATAATTCAAAAACAACAAATTGTGCATTATAATACTTCTACTTTAGCAATCATTTTTATCAAAATCCAAATTACGCGATCTCTATGTCCAGTTTGTTAACATCATTACCTGTGAGTTGGAGGTGGCGATGCTTGAGCGGCGCAAGTTAGCGCGAGTGACGATTTCGCATTTCTTACATAAGTGCTGCTTTTCGCATCGCTCTGAAAGGCAGGCGCCTTCGATCCCACGGGCTCTGGAGCGAAGCGAGAAAATCATTTGAATATCCTCCGATAATTTTTCATTCTCTTAATTACCTGAACGACGGTACGGGGAACCCCTGCGCAGGACAGTGTAAACTCGATGCATTTCCTGCAGCACGTATAAATGAGTTGACGCGATCATCACTCGAGAATTTCGGCCCCTTCGCTCCCATTGGCTCTGATAATATAAGAATCGCATAGATCGATTTCCGAATTAAAAGTTACCTCGTAAAAATTTGCATTTCTAAGATGTGAAAATATTTTTTCACAAAAAATAAAGTGAGCCACGATTATTATTCCACCATTCTGACTACACCACGAACTCCCATTAATGATGTACAAATCAATAAAAGGCACAATCACGCTGTAAGTACCTGAACGCCGGTACTGGGTGACCCTGCGCTTGGCACTGCATCGCAAATCCGATCATCAATTTAGTTCGTAGCCATCGTTTCGCGTCACCCGTGACGGAAGGCGCCTTACTGCCTACCGGTTCTTTACACAAATAAATTATAGATCTTTGATGTATAATACAATATATTATACTGAAAGAAATGTTTAATATGTATAACCATTTATTTTATTGATATGTAACTAACAAAAATTTTTTTATTTTTTCATTTAAAAATTATATTACTCTAATCAAATTTTGATGAGAACAACAATTTTTTAATGAAAAATGAAAGTTTTTGTTAGTCGTATATCAACATAATAAATGGTTATACATATACATATCAAAACATTTTTTTCAGTAGAAAAATAAAGAAATTATCCTAAAATTTATTTTCAGCAAAATAGATATCGTTACTGACGTGATTAAGAAAAGAATTATTTCAGTCGATATAATTCGCCCATATGATTTACCTGAACGCTGGCACAGGGTAAGCTTGCCCTTGACAGAGAATCACGATGTGTATGTCGGTATGCCTTTCCATCAAACTGCCCTTCTCTCCCAAAATCGAAGGTGCCTTAGTGCCGACTGGTTCTATCGACGTAACAATACATTTTAGGCCCAATTACACCAATTACACGTTATTATAATTTACTTATTATTAGAACTTTCTCTCTCTCTCTCTCTCCCCTCTCTCCCTCTCTCCCTCTCCTCCCTCTCTCTCTCTCTTTCTCTCTCTCTCTCTCTCTCTCTCTCTTTCTCTCTCTCGATTTTAAAAAGAGAGAGAAAGAAAATTTTAAGCCTTTATTTAAAGTAAAAGTAACGTTGATGTAATCGAGCCTTAATTTCTTAAAAAAGGAATCGCGCGACAATGTTGTTACCTAAAACTGGGCACAGGGTGACCCTGACCAGGGCACATCAGTACTACGCTGGATCTCACAATTGTCTCTTTCCACCCGCGTTTCATTTCGCCAATCAGCGTCGGTGCTTTACTTCCAATCGGTTCTAACGATTCAGAAAACGAAAATGTTTCAAACAAAACCGGAGATAAAGAAAATGACTTATACATTAAAAAAAAAATATTTTGAAAGTTTCTTTTTCAAGAAAAAAATTTTCCGCATTTTTCAAAATTACACGTGTTTTCCTGCATTAAAGAAGTTTACCTAAAATTGGGCACAGGGTGGCCCTGAGCTGGGCAGAACAATATGACCGTGTAGCCCGCCCTTCTTTCCTTCCATCCACCTTTCAAATCGCCTGTCAACGCCGGCGCTTTGCTGCCGACCGGTTCTAGCGAACAAAAGCCATCGAGAAATCAGAAAAAGTGACACGCAACAGTTTTTATTAACTGCGGTAACTTTACCTAAAAGAGGGTACAGGATATCCCTGCGCCGGACATGGTAATACTGCGCTTGAATTTGCTCTCTTCTTCAGCCATCCCCCTCTTATCTCGTTCGTGAGAGCCGGGGCTTTAGTTCCGATCGGCTCTGACGATTACAAAGTTCATGCAATCAACCAATTTGGATCTTATATAATTAATTGTATATGGAAAGAACGATTTTGCTCTAAAAAGTATCTAAAAATTTAGTTAGATATAAATCTGAAAATATATAATTTTGTTAAACCATCCAAATAATTATGTAGGAAATTTAAGCAATGTCGCAAAAAATTTTGACATTCTAACAATAAACTTGAATGTCTTACATAATTATTTTGATAATCCAATAAATTATTTTTAGATCCGAATTTAGCTAAATTTTTTAATACTTCAGCACAAAACCATTCTTTCCATATACATATTACTCAAGCTCAAGATTAATCTTTTATTTCGGATTGAAGTAACAAATCGATCATTGTATTGTCAAAAATAATAAATCGAAACCAAAAAAATCCGTGAGTAATAAAAAGCAATAAGTAATCGATTTATTTTAAATTGAAATATAAGTCTTACAAGACGTATCGGATCTAATTACATTTTTCCTGTGCTATGTCATTACCTAAAGGAGGGAACAGGATATCCCTGCGCCGGGCACGACAACACAGCATTGGAGTGCGTTCTTTTCTTCAACCATCCAGCTCTTAACTCACTGAGAGCCGGGGTTTTAGTTCCAATCGGCTCTGACGATTACAAACGTGCATGATAAACTAACTTGGACTTTATAAAATTAATCATACATGCTTATTTCCATGTTAATTAATTTCACACATTCGAGCTTGTTAGTTAGTGTTTTATTTGAATTCAAAGAAGATTAATACCTGAATTTATTGTATCATAATTCATAAACAATAAATTGAAAAAAACAAATTGAATACAAATCCAAATATAATAAAAATAAACAATTTTTAATTTAAGTTGACGTAGATAAATTTTGTAGAGATTAAATTAAAGTTTAACCTAATTTAATTAATATCGGATCTAATTATGCTCTTTGCCATTACCTGAAAGAGGGTACAGGATAGCCTTGCGCCGGGCAAAATAATACGACAGCAGATCGTGCTCCGATCTCTAGCAACACACCCTTCACGATGCCGGTTATCGCTGGCGCTTTGCTTCCGACTGGCTCTAATCATTTATGCAACGATTGCTCAGCAAGTTGATATTTTTACTCGATGCTTGTCATGTTTTTATATAACCTTTCTGATGGAACAGGAGACCCCTTCGTTAGCAAGAAACGGAGCGGAAAATCGGAGCAGAAAACGGCGCGAGCGCATAGAGATAAAATGTGAAATGAGAAGCAATAATTTGTTTTTGATTCATATAATTGATTTTCAGTTTTAAAACAAAAAGATTTGTTATTCTTTTTGTGAAGTATGTATATGTAGAAGCTATACCTAAAGGAAGGCACGGGATATCCCTGTGCTGGACACGGTAATACGACATTGGATGCTCTGCTTTTTTCCATCCACACACCTTTCACATCGCCCGTAAATGCAGGTGCCTTGCTGCCCACGGGTTCTAATATATAAAGAAACATGCGATGAACAATAACAGAATCGTCTTTTATCTCTAAAGGGACAGGGAACCCTTCTGTGACTAATAGAATAATATAAATCAATGAAACTCTAAGCTATGTGATGACTCGTATTATTTTTAGAACAATCGATAGAACAACAATTGAAAGACTAATACAAACGCAAACACATTTAGACAATTTGATGGAAAATAAAATGACTAGAAATTAAAATAAAAAAATAGGTTTTTAAAAAGAAACACAGATGCGAATTTACCTAAACGAAGGTACTGGATAGCCCTGAGCAGGACAAAACTGTACAATGCTGGAAGCAGCTTTGCTATTCATCCAACCTCCTTTCAAAGTGCCTGTCAACGTCGGCGCTTTGCTTCCCACTGGCTCTGACAATTTATAGACAGACACGATCATGCTATGAGAATCACTTATTTCTCAATCTACGGCTTTAGTACTGGTGTGCATGTACCTATACGTTGGTACTGGGAACCCCTGCGCGGGACAAAACAGGGTTAGATCGTCTCCTTGAACACGATGGTACCAAGCTAGCTTCGCATCGTTCGAAAATTTCGGCTTCTTCGTAGCGACCGGTTCTAATTACATGATACGGAAATAAATCTTTTCTCGTATATCGCGCAAATGACCAATTGCATTATCTACGGTTTAAATACTTGCATGCATATACCTATACGTTGGAACTGGGAATCCCTGCGCGGGACAAAATAGGGTCAAATCGTTTCCACGAACGCGATCGTACCAGGCCTTCTTTGCGTCGCTTGAGAATTTCGGCTTCTTCGTAGCGATCGGTTCTAATTAAATATCGAAAAATGAAATTCTCTTTGCATGCTGCAATAATTCTCTATTTACAGTTCTGTTTACAGCTTTAAACAGCTGACGTGCATGTACCTATACGAGGGAACTGGGAACCCCTGCGCGGGACACAGCAGAGTCAGATCGTCTCCTCGAACACGTTCGTATCCAGCAAACTTTGCATCGCTCGAAAATTTTGGCTTCTTTGTAGCGACTGGTTCTAATTGTATGATAGAGAATGAAATAAGATTCTTCTCGCATGCTGCGACAATCGTCGCTCTATTTGAAGCTTTAGAATATTTGCACATGTACCTATACGTGGGAACTGGGAACCCCTGAGCGGAACACAACAAAGTCAGATTATCTTCTCGAACGCGGTCGTACCAAGCCAGCTTTGATTCGCTCGAGAACTTCGGTTTCTTCGTGGCGACTGGTTCTAATTACATCGAGAGGTATGAAGCAATCATCACATAATTGATCAAATTCTAACATATTTCAAAAGTTAGGAAATCTGAATAACCACACTGAGAATCATTATATTCCCATCAATTACGAATATTAATAATTTTACGAAGACATTGAATTACGGAGGCATGTATCATGTAGCTTGAATAAATGGTTAATGACAATGCAATTATTAGGTACCTGGTTACAGGAATAGGATGCCCCTGCGCGTTACATAGCATGTTCACTTCCAATCCGTGGTTACGAACAAAAGAGAATGTTTTTACGTCTCCTATAAATGCGGGCGCTTTGCTCCCCATTGACTCTAAATGAGAAAATAAAAGATATCACGAAAAATGTGTATGCTTTACATGACTGAACCCTCGAACAGAGTTCCCCCTCATCGACTTTTCGTAACGATTGTTCCATGAAAGATATGAAAGAAAAATCAATCGTTGTAACAAATAAATATAATATTGTAAATAACATAAGATTACTAAAAAAAAAATGTTTTAATATATCACATATAAATTGCATGTATATATTTTAAATGTATTTAAAATCATTTCTGAATTCTGATATTCATAAAACGATTTTTACAGACAAATGAATATTGCCTATAGAATGAAGTTACTATTATTTTTAAAGATCGATGTTACTTGAATCCTTATTAAATGTCGTACCTAGACACTGGAGGAGGATGGCCTTGGGCATTGCACGGAAGACTGACTTCTGCATTTGCTTTCCGCGCCAATAAAGATATCTTTGCTTCGCCAGCAAAGGCAGGCGCCTTACTTCCGATGGGCTCTAAAGAATATCGACTTGCCATTACTACGAGCTCAATTTTCGCTCGTACATTTGAAGCAGGGACAGGGCTTTCCCTTGCCAACACCTATTATGCATTAAGCGTTATTAAATTCGTCTTTTAATAAAACAGCTCTTTTATGAAATCGAATTTAGTAGCTTTTCTCTAAGAATAAAAATATTATTGCTTTAATCAATATTCTCTGGTTTCCTCTCTCCCTGTGACACTTCCTTGTATTAATTGATAATAATGTAATAATCTCATACCTAGATACTGGAGGAGGATGACCCTGAGCATTACAAGACAAACTAACGTCCATGTTCGCTTTTCGTATCAGCAGAGATAACTTTGCGTCACCTGCGAAGGCGGGTACTTTGCTTCCGACGGGTTCTAAAGAATGTTTTTATTGATTTAGAAAATCTTTTTACATCCCTATATCCTTGGGCAGGAACAGGGTTTCCCCGCAAAAACGAAGCTTGATTTTGATTAATTGATATAAATTGATTTTATTTCTTCCCAATC